GTGGGCAGCTGGGAGCGGGCTGTGGTCACCCACCCCCTGCAAGCGCAGTCGAGTGAGAGCATGTCCATGGAGAACCTGTTCTGTCCCACTGCCTGCAGCACCAGCGACAGATCCAGCCTGTCAGGGGGGCAGAGGAGGGGCTAGATCTCTGTTTCCAGAGGGCAGCTAAGCTGTCGACTATTTATCCAGTTAATTGGGTAATTAATACGTCCTCCCAGGCCCCAGAGCAGTCAGAAGATACTGAATCCTTTCTCTCCCCAAGCCCTGTGCTGTACATATTTTTAAAGGTCTTCTCAGTGCTAAAAAAGCACCACTAAAATCCCATTTTCCACAATTCCTTTTTTTTATATCGGCTGTCGCTTTGGTAAAATCCCGTCTCCTGCAGCGTAGGTCGGGATGTCAGTGAAGTGGGGGCGCAAGTGGACGTCACTCCAGTGTGGCGCTCATATGAATATCCATTCTGGTTTCCCAGAAACGTTGCAGAACACTCAGGCCTAACGTGATCGTGCATTTCCGGATCAACCTGTGGAAATTGGGCCCCAGAGGGCAATATCCTGTCCAATGATGGTGATTATAAAGACAAATTAGGAAACTGAGGCTTAGGTACCGATACATCTGTTTCTGAAGTAATGCAGAGGGTGGGGGCAGGGAGGCCAGGGATATAGAGTACCATCAAACTGCTCAGGGCAATCTAATGCATCAGCTGTCTCGGATTGCAGATCCTATGTTCTTCTGCACTTCATCAGCCCCTGTGTGAATGATCTTTAACGCCACTGTGCAGTGGCTTGCGGTGTCAGCAGTATTATGTCACTGATACGGGTTTAAGGTTTCTGACTTGCAGGCTTCCAGAGCAGGGTTGTATCACAAAGTACCAGTCACCCGCAGGAGGGCTGGGACCCTTGGATCCCTTAGGTGCTACCAACTGGGTTAGATAGGCCAAATGACCTCCTCTTGGATGGAACCTTTCGTATGTTCTGATGGTCTTGTGTGTGGTTCGGGACGCAGCTCTCCGCAGCTGGTCACGCCCTCAGCCGCATCGTCTGTGTTCGTTAAACATCACATTCCCCGAGTTGTGTGGCTCCACGCAGGAGGACGAACCCGATTCCCATCATGCACGGCAGTCTGACCCGATGAGCCAATAGCGGACGCCGTCTGGAAGGCTGCTGTTTTTTTTGTGCGGACGTGTAAAAGGGTCTTCTCGTTTCTGGGGGGCACGGAAGCAAGCGGCTGGCGCGTTTTGTGCCTGTATCTGTGCCTGGGCGCACGCTACGATGTGAAACCGGATGTTTTTCTGTGCGTGCAGCTGAATGAAGTCTTCTGCCGTGCAGCGTGGTGGAAGTGTGAAGCCTGCAGCCCTCTCCCCACCCCTCTCTCTCTCCACAGGGCCCGCCTGAAGCCAGAAGCTGTACTGCTCACCGCACGGCAAAAAAAAAGAGGTTTCCAGACATCTGCTGCCTTTGTTTTTTTTTCCGAACGCGCCCAGAGAGCATGGAAATGTGTCTTGCGGTTAAGACTTACCGTTGAACTCTTGTGCTGCAGCCTTCACCTCCACTGCAGTGCGGGGGGGGGGGCGATGTCTGATTGCATAAGCTTGACATTTCAGACAGCAGTTCGTGCACACGATCGCTTTTCTTAGTCAAAGCTGTGGTTAGAGTGAACCAGGGCTTCCAAGCCCATCTCAGTGTTACCCCGCGTCCTGCCAGCGTGACTCAGTGTGAAGTGGGGTTTCGATCTGTCTGCCCCCGCCTCTATTATTTCTGCTCGCCGTTTTCGGCGTGGGTCTGTTGTTCGGGCTACTGGAATGACTCCATCCTCGGGAGCTCGCCTAGCTCTTTTGAGACTGTGAACGCCAGCGTTGTTGGCCAGCTGAACTGTCGAATGCTTGCACACGTGTGCACGATGTACAGTGTGGTCATTCTGTGAAGAGCTGATGTTGTTTTATAGACATCAGGACTCTCCAAATCTGTACAGACTTCCCACCACAAGTGAGGGTTTTCTGCAAGGAACCCATGCATGCTTCCATAATCCTAAAGGTTCTGCATTGCTGGTGTACCGCTACTACGTTATGTACAGGCACAATCTTACCTTCTGTGTACCATGCTGTGAAGTTCCCATTGACCAAATAGTTTTAAATTCTACTTCTGTGTCCAAATAGTTTTTTCCAGCAATTTTCAATAACTGCTTAGTCCGGCACAACCACAGAGTCTCATTTGGCAGGCAATGGGCACCAGGCAAGGTACACTCATCACAGGGCATTCACACCATGCCAATTTCAGAGATGCCAGTTCACCTTTAGAGCCTGGTTTCTGGAGTCCTGTATCAACATCCTCTCAATTTCCTCCTGCTTTCCTTGTCTGGGAGTCAGTGTTTTGCTGAATTTTCTAAGTACCCTTATCATCTCCCCTTTTGCTCTTGACTGCTCATAAAGAGATGCTGTTCGTTATTTTTTTTTTTAAATGTACTCTCCAATTTGTTTTGGTTCTACCATCCAGCTGATTTTCGGATTTTCTAGAAAGGAAAGAGGAAGAGAAGGAACAGGGGGCTCCCCTGCACCTCTCCTGGATCGTCACAGTCTGGGCAGCCCTGTGCCGGGGGATCAGCATTGTCAGGAGCAGAGATAATAATAATAATTCCTCACAGTTACAGAGCACTGTTCCGGAGACTCCACTCAAAGCGCTTTATGGATAACAGGGACTTCCCTCCACTCCCTGGATGATGCGACAGCAGCCAGAGTGCACCAGTACTCTCCCCACACACCAGCTCTCAGTGGGGAGGAGAGCAGAGTGATGACGCCAGTTCAGAAATGGGGATTATTAAGAGGCCATCATCTCTCCTACCAGCCTACCCTCGGCAGTGTCCGGCCTACAGCACGCTGTCAAGTGGTTTGCTTGTGACGTTCTTATAACCTGGCGGCGGGTGATGTCTCTTTCATGGCCAGTTAATGCATCTGGCGGCATTAAGCTGAACTGCTTTCAAGATAGCAGCTTTTTTTTATGTAGCGCAGTGTCATCTAAAAGAGCCCAGCGGATTCTAAGTGAGGCCCTTCTAATGTGTTGCTCAGCCTTAATGTGACTTCACTTCATTTGAGCGGAACAGGGAGCAGTGTATTGTATATCCTTGAATGTCTGCTTGAGGTTAGAAGTATCTGCTAAGTGGCTGCTTAGCTGTTAAGCGGCTATAATGCCTTTCAGCCAAGGAAAGCTGAGAGTAAGCAAGCGTAACGCAGAAGGGCCAGGGTGGAATTGGCGGGGTGGGGCCGAGCAGGTGTCAGACCACAGAAATCTGTGGTTGTAAAGTGGCTGCTGACTTGTGCTCGGCTGGGCTTGCCCCCTCCGCTCTCCCTGGGTGAAAGCCCTTCTATGGGGGAATCACAGCTCCAGCCAGGGAGATTTCTGCCAGGCCTGATGTCATCCTGTTGCTAGGGGACAGGAGGAGGAGGGGCGGGGGTTGCCAAGGACAGTGCTACCCCATCAGCTTGACGCCTTGCCCGTTGCCAAGGGCGCCCGTGGAGGGCAACCCAGCCATGCATGAAAGGAACTCCCCACCCCCCCCTCCCCCCTCCCAGAGCGCACAGCTCCCTGATTGCGGTCTTATATGAGAAAAAGTGACTCTTGGTACTCTTGGTAAGGCACTGATTCAAACTCCAGTCTGCAGTCGCTCTGACTCATTGTGTAAACAAGGGAATACCCACCAAGTCTATTTTTAGAGCTCTGACCTTCGGGTATGTGCTTTTGTAGAAAAAAAAAGGAACATTCGTTTGTTTTCGCAAAGTTAAAGAGCTTTTATCACAATATATAAGCACAACAGGCCCACTCAACCTCCCTCTCGCTCAGTCCCTTGGCTCTGAACATCAGGCCTCGCTGCCTGCGTCTTTCTGACAATGAGCCCACACGGCCTCTCCTTCTCCCAGCCCCTCAGCACTACCCTCTAGCCCACACTGCCTCCCTCTCTGTCAACACCTACATTTGCCTTCTTACATAACTAATGGTTCCTGGAGCTGCACTAGCCGGTATAACCTCACTGTTATATAGTGTGCTCATAAATTTAGATGGTTTTTTTCAAGCAGCTTTATCTGGAAAGTGTTCTTTAGTTGCCTGTGTTCAGAATTGCAGTAGCTCTGAGAGACAACGGTTACATAAGGAAAGTTACAAACAAAACTTGGCCATTCAACCATCTAGCTCCTTTGGTTGCTAGAGTTTAATTGATGTCATCCAGCCACGTTTCAAAAGAAGCCAGGCTATCAGCTTCAACAACGTAGCTGGGTCACATGTTGCAGACACCTACGACTCTTTGTGTAAAATGTTACTCCTGTTCGTGGTTTTAACTTTATCTCCTGGTCCTTTCTCTGCAAGGGTGTGACCACTTCAAGAAATTAGTCTTGTAGACGACAAAAGGATTATGAGATTTCATGATTTCACTATCACTATAAACATCACAGTGTAGAAGTCTTAATTGTCTCTGAATTACTCTGAATGTAATTTCTCTGAATTACTTATTACTCTGAAAATACTGCTTGAAAAGTTTCAGCATAATTACCCATTAGATGCAAAACTGTGATTACTCCACAGTGCCTTATGCTGTAGGCTATGGCATCTTAATATATTGTGCTGGACCTTATGCTGTAGGCTATGACATCATAATATATTTTGCTGGACATTATGGTGTAGGCTTTGACATCATAATATGTTGTGCTGGACCTTATGCTGTAGGCTATGACATCATAATATATTTTACTGGACATTATGGTGTAGGATATGACATCATAATATGTTGTGCTGGACCTTATGCTGTAGGCTATGACATCATAATATATTTTACTGGACCTTATGCTGTAGGCTATGATGTCATAACATATTGTGCTGGACCGTATGATGTTGGCTATGACATCATTATATATTGTGTAGGACTTTACAGTGCAGGTCTCTTTTCGTGGGCGCTGTTGCCCTGGGCAGTTTTGGCCTGCTCCACTGACACCCCCTTCCATCCTACTCTCTCTCCAGTTGGCAGCCCGACAGCACCCCATTTCTGCCCGCTGGCCTGGCTGCCGAGAATGACTTCGCCTGCTGAGGTGGAGGGGAAGGAGCTGGCGTCGCTCAGCCCTGTGGACTTCATCCAGCTTCAGCAGTACATCGACTGTAAGAAACCCTCGTTCTCTTCCCTTCATCTCGGGCACAAGAACAGCAGGCAGCTCCCAAGCGAGAGGAGCCGTTCGGCTCATCTGGCCACTGCGGTACTTAGCAACTAATTGATCCAAAGTTCTCATCCAGCCCTTTCCAGAACCTTGGATCAATTTATTATTCGCTGCTTAATTGACTGCTTTACTCAATTTACTTCTCCTTTTTTGTTTCTTCTTCCCATCGTTTCTTCCTTGTCCTCTTTCTTCTCTCTGCAATCCCAACGGAGCTCCCACGCGCGAGCCCGTGGCTGCTGTTCGGTTATTGAACTGATGAAGCACCTTCTCTAGCCGGTGATCGGAGACGCGTTTTTCTTTCTGGGTCATTCACCGAGGCATGTGTTTGTGCTGAGTTGGCTGCAGTTATTTTCCCTTTGTGGTGTCTAGCAGCAGACTGCACCACGGGATTTCCCAAATGGTAGCACGAGATCAATCAAGCACCACCGCAGGTTTGGGAGTAGGCTTGGCCCTGGGGTTTTTTGTCCCTACAGCGCGCCCCGTTCCTCACTGGGCTCCTCTGAGCTTGTGGAAGGTGGCATCTGCCCCTCCCCCCCTCTGATCCCACAGCGCTTGTCACTGGTGCTGTGGGCTTGCAGGTGTGAATCGTAACAGAAGGCCTCGCGGCGCAGATGTTGGAGGACATACTGTACTGGCGTGACAGGAGGGCCCTTTGGGATTTGATTTTCCCCTCCCACAAGCAACTCCGGCTTCATAGCTACAAAACGCCCTGTCACAGACACCAAAGTATTCCACTACACGAAAGGGCCAGGCCTCCTGGTACTGGAGGGTTCCAAGAGGGGTGACATCACCATCTGTTACAGCCTCAGTGCCAAGTGATCCCTATTATGCATGTGCAGGTGTCTGGGTTGGTCCAGTGTTTGTACAAGGGTGCTGCTTCAGATCTGCCGAGCATGAATGGAAAATGACTGGTGGTTCGTAAGTCTTTTTTAAAGGACCTCAGCATCCGATAAAAGTAGATGATTGTGGTTTTTTTTTGTTCCAAGCACTGATTCTGTTCGAAGTTTGTCTTCAGTACTCTATTTCCCTTTTGCATATTCTGAATCCTTGATGAATTCGTTTTTTTTCCTCCATCTATTCCCAGTTTGGAATGAGCACATATTAATTAGCTCCTCATTTCCTGTAAATCCCTTGTGCCAGTAGGAAGGAGCCAGGAGCGTAGTGTTTGTCCTCTGAGAGGTGTATCGTCAAGGATCCTCTGTCTCTCTCTATCCACAGACTGCGGCTTGAAAGTCAAAGATGTGCTGAAGGATTTCTATGGGGACAAGGCTCTGGCAAAGCACAGAAATGGAGAGGTGAGGGCTAACTGCTCCCACGCTGCCTGACTCTGGCATTCCTGCAGCTTTCAATCCTTTTCTGAGTTTCAGACAAGCCCAGCCACTTCTCTCTTCTTAATCACAGCCTTTTCCCCCATAGTATGAGGGTCAGCTGGTTGGCAGGACTATTTGTTTTGTCAGAACCCTGCCAGGCTGCACCAAGTGCTGTGGTGTTGGGGCCTGCTCTGTTTCGTGCTCCGTGTTGTGTGTGAGCTGTATTAAGATAATGCAGTATGTTCCAGTACTGACTGAGCTGCAGCCGGGCTTGTGTGTTAGTGAAGACTGTGCCTCTTCTTCTGCCAGTGGATCGATGAAGAGGGGTTCCAGCTCTTCCTGAAGACTTACTTGGAGGTGGACGACCTCCCTGCGAATCTCAGCCAGCGGCTGTTCCGATCCTTTCAGAACTCCGAGAAGGACGGAGCCAGTGATGCCGTCGTTCCGCCAGGCAGTATGTCCTTTTGTTTTTTCGGTTCCTGTCCTGTTGTGTACAGCAGGGCTTTTTCTTGTCACGAATCTCTATTATTTTTTTCATAATGTAACAATCTGCAGTTCGTAGTTTTTGAAAAACAATCTGTTGGGGGGGGACAATGTGCATTATGTCCGTATGACCCCAAATTACATGTTTTTATTTCCATTTAAAAGTGACAACAATAATTTAATCATTTAAACAGAATTAGGTCGCCAGGACGTCCGCACAAATATAGGAAAACTAATGTACAAGTGTGAGAGGACGAATCTGAGTGTGTGAGAGAGTGAGTGTATAGAGAGAGATTGTGAGAGTGTGAATATGAGAGAGTGAGAGTGTGAATGTGAGAGAGTGAGAGTGTGAATGTGAGAGAGTGAGTGTATAGAGAGAGATTGTGAGAGTGTGATTGTGAGAGAGTGAGAGAGTGAATGTGAGACAGTGAGAGAGTGAGTGTATAGAGAGAGATTGTGAGAGTGTGATTGTGAGAGAGTGAGTGTGATTGTGAGAGTGAGAGTGTGATTGTGAGAGAGTGAGAGTATAGAGAGAGATTGTGAGAGTGTGAATGTGAGAGAGTGAGAGTGTGAATGTGAGAGAGTGAGAGTGTGATTGTGAGAGAGTGAGAGTGTGAATGTGAGAGAGTGAGAGTGTGATTGTGAGAGAGTGAGAGTGTGAATGTTTAGAGAGAGATTGTGAGAGTGGGAGTGTGAAAGAGTGAGAGAGTGTGAGTCTGAGTGTGTAGAAGAGTGAGTGACTGGCCCTTCTCTCCCTCTCTCCCTCTCTCCAGGCTCTGGCCAGGTGTGTCTGAAGGATGTGTCGTGTTACCTCTCTCTGCTGGAAGAGGGACAGCCTCAGGACAAGCTGGAGTGTGAGCCTTCTCCTCTCCTCTGCTCTCACCCCTCCGAGACACCCTCGGCCCTACTAATACTGCCGTCACTTCTAACCTGCCTTGACTTGAAGTCTACATTCCCTCACAAACTGTCCAAACAAGCCCTTTTATTGCTTCCCCACATTGTCTAAAGGCAAAAAAAGCAGTTCTAATATGACCTTACTGAAGCTCCTGTCTGTCATCTTAAATTCATAGTTTAAGTTCTCCTCTCTGTATGTAATGCTCTGCACTTGTCTACATTAAATGCAATCTGGCACAAACCTAGAGATTTCTAGAGAATCAGTTAGAAGTGTGTAAGTGACCAGGGTCAGTGGCCTGTGTGTAAGTGACCAGGGTCAGTGG